GCAATGATGGTGCCAGCTTGGGCCGGTGAAGCAACATCCTCCACAACTAGACTAAAGAACAAAAACAACAGCAACTTGTCTGTTCCCCTTCCCCCGATTCCCCAATAAAATCTTAAAAAAAAAAAAAGAATCTGATAAAAAGAAGTAGATATGTTAGCCTTTGTAATCTGCACATGAGATGCTAAAGGTTGATATTCCAAGTGGTAACCAGAGAGTGTAGATAGAGTTCTCTGGGTTATAAAAACAGTTCCTAAACAGATAAAATGAATGCTGAGCAGATGAGCAAATTTTTTTGCCACAATTAAGGAAAAAAAAATAGGCCCTTTCCAATGTAAACCCAGTTCATAAAAATAATTTGAAATGTATGACCAAAATATTAATAAAAATCACTAACATTATTGGGAAATTAGTCATCTAACTAACAAAATAAAGGGCAAGCATAAACAATAGATTTAATTTTAAGGTACAAATAATTTTACAAAGTGAAAATTTTAACTTTATTCACTTTAGGGAAACCAGTCTTAACATTTACATCAGTATAAAATTGAATTTTTAAAACTATAGACTTAAAATAACATTTCCATTTGCTCCCTTTCCTTGTTCATTTAACACCGAAGGAGCTGGTTCTTTGTATGAGGCATGTTCCCTTACATGTAGAACCCTGATATTAACAGGAAAACTTTCAAGATTATCCACATTATATGCGCCCACAACTTAAGCACTATTGACTCACCATAATTCAAAATAGATTTAAGATATCAAAGGGCATTACCTGTAAGATAAGAAGGACGAGGAAATAGAAATTGGCTGCTCTCTTAAACTGCTCAAACAAATTCATTGGTAGAAAGGTAAGTGCATTGTACTTGTATGTTTTAATTGCATTAGTCTGTTGGAAAAAATAAGAAAGTTATTCTAAATCACACCATGCATTTATCACAATGTACACACATCTGCAAAAATCATTAAATCCTATGGCCGTCAGTGACACAAGGACATCATTTCTCAGTCAGAAAGATACTGAGATTTCCTTTAAGCTTTAATTCTAACCAGGCCTCGAAAAGACTCCTTGGAGGCTTATGTCGGGACAGTATCAAGGTGCAAACATTTCACCGCAAAACACTGGCAAATCCAGCTGTGACCAACTGGATTGATCCTTGACCCCTTAAAACCTCATAGAAAAACGGGACAAAAGGAGACATGGATGGCAAAGCAGGAAAGGGAACGCTTTTACTTCGGGGGGGAAGATGGAGTCTACTACGTAAGAAAGAGGAAAAGATACCATTGTGGGTTGAACTGTGTGCTCCAGTCCTAACCCCGATACCTGTGAATATCATCATATTTGGAAATAGGGTCTTTTCAGATGTAATCAAGTTACAGTGAGATAGTGTTGGATTACCATGAGCCCTAATCCAATGACTGCTGTTCTTAGAAGGAGAAAATTGGACACAGAGAGAAGTCCAGGTGAAGACAGAGGGAGAGATGAGAATGATGCATCTAGAAGCCAAGGAATGACAAAAATTGTTGGCCACCACCAGAAGCTAGGGCAGGTGCATGACGGCCATTGAAAAAAACTGGCTTTCAGTAAAGGCAATTTAGGCAGTTAAAATCAACTTACCGCATATTTGCTCTCTTTAATACAAAGGAACTTTGTGTTCATAAAATGAGGCTGTTCGTGGAAGCTTCGATCATTTGCTTTGACTTGCCATGTACAGTCTTTAAAAAAGAAAGGAAAAAAAAGTCCATAAAGTAGAAAATTGGCACACTGTTATGGTCACTGTGTCCTTCACAGATTCATATAAAATCCTAACCCCAACCCCGTAGCCTGTACCTCAAAGTATGACCTTATAGGGTCACAGCAGATGTAATCAAGTGAGGTCATTAGGGTGGGCCCTAACCCAATATGACTAATGTTCTTATAAAAAGAGTAAATTTGGACACAGAGATACACATAGAAGGAAAATGAAGTCACAGGGATAAGATCTACAAGCCCTGGAGAGAGGCCTGGAACAAATCCTTCCCTCACAGCCCTCAGAAGGAATAAACTCTGTCAATGCCTTAATCTCAGACTTCCAGCCTCCAGAATGGTGAGACAAGACATTTTAAGCCAGTTTGTGGCCCTTTGCTATGGCAGTTCTAGCAAACTGATGAATATATTGTAACTTGACCAACTGTTCATAGAATATTAGACTCTAAAAGAAGCCTAATTAAACACGGCCCAAATGAAAGTTCCAGAGCCCCAGAAGGTCACAGCTAAATTAAATGATTTTTTCAAACTCATTGACTTGCTTTGTAAAATTTATAACCCATTAAATATTTAGTGAATGAATAAATCCAAGAAAAGAGGCATTTCCAATGAATTCAGCATTTGTGAGTCCTGACCACAGATCAGCATTACGCAGAGCTTTATCCTGACCTCCAAGGTCTGTCATCTTTGTAAGTTCATTTTGTGTACTTAATGTCGCATCCCACCATTCAATCACCATGTCTAAATTCCAGGGAACTTGAGAAAATCCACAGCTTCTCTGTAGATGGGGGGAACCTTTCTCACCCAACAGTTATCTCTTATAATGTTCCTCCCTGGCCCCCCACCCCTCACAGTTATCAGGTGTTGTCGCCTGGCTTATCAGAACAATTCTCAATTATGTGAAAGCCTCTAGATGATGACTTCCCTCTTTTGGTTGCCCACAAATCTTGATGTACCCTCCTCACTCTCTTGAATGTCACCTAAAGGGATATGAGACCAATCATCATTCAGGGGCCTTTGCGAGGGAAGGAAAGAAAGAAGAAGAGGAGAGGGAGGTGACGGTGGTATGACTTTCAGTTACAGTTTTGGGGAACCAAATCCAGGAAGGGCTGAAGCAAGGCAGTGCCCTCCTACCAGCTCTGACTAGCATAAGTGTGAAGTGGGGTCGCATGGCTAGAGCCTGGGGATTCAGGTTGTAGTGCTGTGACATCACACAGTTCCCTGGCCACCCTCTCTCATCTCCATCATGTCCTCCATGTTCCTCCCCTCCATGACTTCACACACAACATCCACTTCTCTACCTCATGGGGACTGCTATTTTATGGTCGGGCTGGTTTTGCAATTAATTCCTCCAGGAAGAGCCACCCACTGGGTCTCTTACTTCCAGAACCCGAATTAGCAGGAGAAGGGTTCCTCCCCACCTTGTAGGATGTCCTAGGATTCTTTGTGGTGGGGCTGTGCCTGCTGCCCCAGTTTCTGGGATACTTGTTTCATTTTGTCATCTCTAGTCAGTCCACAGCTGACCTGTCACTCCCCCATCCACCCACCTGTTTTGTCTTCACCCATCTGCTATTGATTTCTACTGTCCATGATGTTATAGCTCTACAGCTACCATTTGTTCAGTGTTTACTATGTGCCAGGCACTGTGCCAAGTAGTTAATATCTCAATTTTACAGCTGAGGAAACAGACAAGTGAGGACCAGTGACTTTACCTGTGGGAGAATCAAAGTCTGGCAGGGGCCTCTCTATATACCTCTCTGTACTGACTGGGCCCTTTTTTTTGGTGACTTATGCTCTAAACCATCACGAGAACTGCTCTGCCAGTGAGCTGACTTGGGAGGATGACTTCTGAGTACAGGGTCAACCTTTCCAGTGTTACTTGAGTAGCAGGCTCTGCTTGGTCTCCTAACAGGAAGGTATAAACATGCCGCTGCTATGAAAGCTCAGGACAAGAATGTTACAAATTAGGAAGAAAAGCTGAGGAATCATCTCTCTCTGGCATTGGGTTCCTCACTGATTTGTGTTCGGATGTGCATGCCCGATGAACTTCCCTTGCGTGACACACGTGCAGGTGGGTGACCCAGGCTTAGATGAACCTCTCTTCCCCTGCAAAACCTAACCCTCCCTCCTCAGTGACCATAAAAAAAGCGAAAACAGTATTCTGTGGTCAAATGCAGTTGTGAAAGACAGCATGCTGCACCCCTTTTTTTGGATATCCTGAGTCCTGTAGTAAAGAAACTTATTTAATTAAGGTTTTTTTACATAACTAATGTGACCACAGGCACTTTTTTTTTTAAATCACAGAACACCTATTAATATGGTTTGAGAACTGCTGCACCAGAGCACAAGCTGTTATGAAGGGCAGCAAAATAGTACTTGGAGACATTTGCCTTTTTGACCCAACATTTACAAAGTACCCAATTGGAACAGAGAATGGTACTGGACACTTGGATCACAAGGCTAATTTATAGAAAAAGTAGAAATCTTGCCCCATTTTCTAGAATGGAAATATTGACTAAGAAAAGAGAAGAACTAATATACGCGTATTGACCAGCAAAAAAATACACCTTCGCCATATGGCCCTTTAGTCAAAAGCTAGAAAGATACCAACTCTTCAAGGGCTGTGCCTAGCTCAACCATCAATGCGTGTGTCCACACAGGTGCATCTAACAGCAGGCTGTGGTTCAAGATCATGTCCGAGCCCGGTAAAGATGTAACGAAAACATGCAAATATTCCTACATGATGTTCAGAGTTTTCCCACGGTCACCAAATCCTTCGATCATCACCACCTTGGAAATGAAGTAAGCTAGGCCTGGCCCCTCAGCCCATCATGCTGGTTCTGAATTCTTACTTACAGATACACCAACAACCAAAAGCGTTGCACTGGTTGGTACAAACTACAGCACATCAGTAGAATACAAAGATCAAAAGTTTAACATCAAAACGGGAAAAAACCCCAAAAACAACCAAAGAGAGAAATGGGTTAAGGACATGAATAGACAGTTCATGCATAGGGAGATTCAAGTGGTTCATCAATATGTGAAAGATACTCAAGTTCATAAAAAAAAGAAGTGCAGGGAGATCCGGTTAGCTCATTTGGTTGGAGTGTGGTGCTGATAACACCAAGGTTGCTGTTTCGATCCCCACATGGGCCACTGTGAGCTGCACCTTCTTTGAAAGAGTCAACTATGCCATTGCTAGCATGAAAGCAATGTGTAACCAATGACCATGGCTGTTCCCCAATAAAATTTTTTTAAAAAGTGCAGTTCTTCAGTTAGGTACCTGTTTTCATCTTACAGTGGCAAAATAACAACAAAGAGTAAAGAATTTGTACCACACTGAGGGTGGAGAGAAAGGCTGTCTTAGATGGTCTCTGCAGAGAGCAATTTGGCCAGATTTATCGCACCAACTGAGCAATCCCACTTCTAGACATTTATCCCCGTGTATATACTCATGCACAGGAGAAATAATATATCTCAGGTCTATTCAATCCAGCCCTGTTTATCCGAAGGATTAGAAATAACCTAAATGCCACCATGAGCACCTGATTAAATAGCCACACAATGAAAGCCTGTGCAGTCTGCAGAAAAGGAGGAGGCAGCTATGTGTCCTGATAGGGAAGATCTCCAAATTACACTAAGTGACAAAAGCAGAGGGTGTCTCTTACGCTGTGCTTTCAGCTGTGTGACACACGGAATTAATGTACAGTAGGCATGCATGCTTGGGCACACAGTTGCACATGTGTGTTTATGTGTATGTGTATCTATGGCTATAGAAGGGCACATGTTTGTAAGTATTCTTTGCACATACACATGAGTGTATATCTCTGGAAGGACATTTGAGAAACTGGTAAGAGGCATCAAACATGTATTCACTTAATAACTATTGGTGAAACTACATGCTTGTGTTCTATGTGCTTTTCAGTATTTAAAAATATAGGAAAATAAATTAAAAAGGAGGCAAGAATAAGCCAAGAGGAAGGCAGTGATACAAAGGAAATAGCCCGGATGATGATGAAAGGAAAAAGAATTCATCATAGGTGAATGAGAGTAGCGTGACCTAACAGTGGGCTGAGCCAAGTTCTCCTTAGGGACTCTGGCTGGATGTGACCTGGGAGGGCATCAAGTTGGGGGCAGAGGTATTAAGAGGAGAAGTGTGTCTTCTCTGTGCTTCCCACCTGCTGCCAGGTGGGGTTCTGCCTCTCCTGAGTCACTGATACATATCAGTCACTGAGCCGTACACGTGCTCTATCCTTCCACTCTAACCTGATCGCAGAACAGCCAACAGGCACCACGGGGTACGACTGGAGGTGAGACTTAACAAATAATAAAATCAACTCCACCCAGGGAAAATTAATGGAGCTCATCTTCCTTGTGTCAGGCATTCTAGTCTTCCTAGGTTAGGCTCAACGTCTGTACACACCCACAGTCTCTGAAATATGGAGAAAACGCAGGTCAGCTGCAATAATATTATTGGCAGCAGTGGTTCTCAAAGTGAGGGTTCCAAATTAGCTGCGTCATCTGAGAACGTGTAAGAAATGCCATTCTCAGGTACTGCCCCGGAACCAGCATATCAGGGACTCTGGGCGTGGGCCTGCAATGTGTTTTCACAAGCCCTCCAGGTGATTCTCACACACACTTAAGTTTGACAACCACTAATTCGGAACAAGGTAGAACTAAAACCCGTTTCGGAGAGAAACTACCTATCGATCAGACACAACCCCTACCTCAAGGAGCCCATTGTCTTGCCAGGGTGGGGGAGAGAGATACCTAAGCACATACATCAGGGGAAGACAATGTATAATGCATAAGACAATGTAAGGATAAAGGTAAGCACTTGGCAGGATGGGAATTCTAAGGAGCAGCAGGGGATGGTGATGTCAGGGAACAGTTGTTGGAAGAGGTGCCCCTCGAGTAGGCTCTTAAAAGCTGTCCCCAAATTATACCTGTAAAGGGACAGGAGAGAGAT